ATTCCAGTTTGAGCCACATTCTCCTCATTTTCTCGTCCGAGCCACCTTGAAATCCTCGTCCTACAAAAGTATTTTTTTTTATGTGTCCAATCCTTGAAGATGAGAATATTTTACGAAAATCTGGCCACATTAGGGCATACAACATGGTTAGACTAAAGTTTTGCAGATTTTATAATGTTGAAATCTTCAAATCATTGAAAATTTTTATTGAAATCTGTTTTAGTTTAGCATAAATATTTTAAGGATTTTGTAAAATATTAAACATATTACAGTTTTATATATATATTACGACGTTACATGTTTGCAGATAAGATAAAAACACTTTTTTAATTCAATTTTGAAAATACAGCTATATATATAAGCAAGTTAGCAAATAAGATACTTTTGATCATAAGAATTCTCTTTTTAAATAAAAAGGAATTACTCAGTACAGTTATTTAATATTGTATGTAATCTTGAGATGTTACAACATTATTTAACATAAATTGTACTAAGTACATTAACATAAATTGTACTAAGTACATAGTAAATGTAAACTCGGAAATATTTAATATTGTATGTAATCTTGAGATGTTACAACATTATTTAACATAAATAAGTACATAGTAGATGTAAACACATGGAAATAAGATCTGTTCTCCAAGTTTTGATGAAATTTTAGGGTATTTTATTTTTTGCAGGTATTATCCGATCATAATTTTCAATAAATTAAAGTTGCATCCACCGTAAAAATAAAAATATTAACGTGGTGCAAAAGTACTTGGATTTTAGATACTTTGATACTTAGGTAGAAATCCATGATAATGATGTCAAACTTTTTAGGTTAAAACTTAAACCTCTTCTGTCTCCAAATAGCTAAATTTCATAATTCAAAAATTATATCAAATTATATATATAAATTATATTATTATTAATTATATAAAAATTATATAATTTTTATCAAAGTATTAACTTTAACATGGTGTATAAATTTCCATTTCAAACCAAATATAAAAATCATTGATTTCTGATATATTTACAAATAAGGCAAATTTTTGTTCTTGTAAAGTTGTACCAAGTTACCTCTGCCTGTCACACGATTATAACCAAGGAGAAAATAATGTTTAATTTAAACAGTTGTTTTGATTGAATTTCCTAATAATTTGCGGTATTCTACGAGAAAAGGGACTACTGCAGACAGATGTTTATTTATAGAACATTGTTTTGGGAGCATATACATTTTTCACAAGTTTAAAATTTGTAAGAGAAAATTCAATATTTCATTTATTCCCTAATGTGGCCAGATTTTCAAAAAATATTCATCTTCAAGGATTGGACAGTAAAAAAACATTTTTGAAAGGACGAGAATTTCGAGGTTGCTTGGACGAGAAAATTAGGAGAATGTGGCTCGGACTAAGATTTGTTGTGGTTGGCCTTCACCCTCTCACTATACAGTCTTACAATAGACTTCTGCAGCCCATGTAGTATAAGTTATACTTGGAACTTTTAGACAAACTTTCCTTTAAATAAAATTACATTTGTGAGATGAAGTGACATCACGATAAACTAAAACAAGAAATTCACGGTAAACTAAAACAAGAAATTCACACTAAACTAAAACAAGAAATTCACGGTGAACTAAAACAAGAAATTCACGGTAAACTAAAACTAAATATTCACGGTAAACTAAAACAAGAAATTCACGCTAAACTAAAACTGGATATTCACAGTAAACTAAAACTGGATATTCTCGGTAAACTTAAACAAGAAATTCACGCTAAACTAAAACTGGATATTCACAGTAAACTAAAACTGGATATTCACGGTAAACTAAAACTAAATATTCACGGTAAACTAAAACTAAATATTCACGGTAAACTTAAACTTTGTATTCACGTAAACTAAAATTAAATGTTCAAAAGTCAGAGAGTCTCTCCTTCAAAAGTTTAGACCCAATTTTCACATCTTATAAATGTTATAGATGTTTTGGCATGAATTATAAATTTGTACTTTTTGTCAAGTTTTTCGAAATTACTATTTCTTTCCAAAATATATAATTACTATATCTTTTCAAAATATATAATTACTATATCTTTCCAAAATATATAATTACTATATCTTTCCAAAATATATAATTACTATATCTTTCCAAAATATATAATTACTATATCTTTCCAAAATATATAATTACTATATCTTTCCAAAATATATAATTAAATCATTGAGCTTGTAAATTTCAGTTTGTTGGAGGGGGAGTTTCTTGTGTTGTTTATACCACGTGGAAAGGTGGAGGCATGCGTACCCATGGGTGGAGGAGTATCGGGAGGGGGTGGGAGGTTCAATATCTAGATCCCACACACGTGTAATAATTGCCGGGCCATAACTTCAGGGAGGGGCACCAAGGTTAATAAGGGGGGATTAAGCCCTTTATAACAGAAAAAAACTTATTTCAAAAAATTAGCATTTTTTATGTAGTGTTTTAATATAATGCCAAGATTTTAAAACTGTCTTCTGCCAAAGTTTGCTTTCTAAATGGAAAACCTATATCTATAAGAACGATCGTTATAACACGTTCGTTTTTGGATCATTATAACACGTTCGTTTTTGGATCGTTATAACACGTTCGTTTTTGGATCGTTATAACACGTTCGTTTTTAGATCGTTATAACACGTTCGTTTTTAGATCGTTATACGTTCGTTTTTGGATCGTTAAAACGCGTTTGTCTTTGGATCGTTTTAACACGTTCGTTTTTGGATCGTTTTAGATTTGTTTTTCGTCATATATTTTATGTCATGATCAAAATTCAAAATGTAACAAGTTTAAGAAGAGCAATAAAATTTTTGAAAACTATAGCTCTCCTTACACTATGCCAACTTTTAACCCAGAAAGAAAATATATGGGGAAAAAACGAACCAATGCCACAAAACACACAAAAATCCAATTTTGGGGAAGGAAATCCCTCAAAACTGGAAAAGGATAAGGTATTTCTGAATATTTTAGAGTTGTTTCCCAATATTATATTTGAGGTGTTTCCTCTTTTTGTTTGAGGCGTTTCCGCATTACATACATACATTACTCCCCCCTTTCCATTTTTCTATACTCCATCCCCTCCCAACATTACTCCCCCCTCTCCATTTTTCTATACTTCATCTCCTTCCACATGTATAACATTACTCCCCCTTTCCATTTTTCTATACTACATCCCCTTCCATCATACATTACTCCCCCCTTTCCATTTCTATACTCCATCCCTTTCCTTTACACATTATCTCCCCCCTTTCCATTTTCTATACTTCATCCCCTTACATAATACATTACTCCCCCCTCTCCATTTTGCTATACTCCCTCTCCTTCCACATGTATAACATTACTCCCCCTTTCCATTTTTCTATAGTACATCCCCTTCCATCATACATTAACTCCCCCTTTCTATTTTCTATACTACATCATCTTACATAACACATTACTCCCCCTTTCCATTTTTCTATCCTCCCCTCTCTTTCCAAATGTACAGGGTGTCCCACATCATATTAGATCGTAAATAGTTCAAAATTGTGATTTTAGGGAGTAGGGACTAATCAGAAAATTAATTGCAGAAAATTCTAATGTTTTTCGAGTATTATGTGCGCGTATTTTGGCTTTAAAGCTTGAAGATAATCAAATGATATATGGGGCGTATCTGTACATTACTATATACCCTTTCCATTTTTCTATACTTTATCCACAATTCCATCATACATTACTTCCCCTTTCCATTTTCTATACTCCATCCCCTTCCATCATACATTACTCCCCCCTTTCCATTTTCTATAATCCATCTCCTTCCATCATAAATTATCGCCCCCTTTCCATTTTCTATACTCCATCCCTTTCCATCATACATTATCTCCCCCTTTCCATTTTTCTATACTCCATCCCTTTCCATTATACATTATCTCCCCCTTTTCATTTTCTATACTCCATCCCTTTCCTTCACACATTATCTCCCCCTTTCCATTTTCTATACTCCATCCCTTTCCATCATACATTATCTCCCCCTTTCCATTTTCTATACTCCATCCCTTTCCATCATACATTATCTCCCCCTTTCCATTTTCTATACTCCATCCCTTTCCTTCACACATTATCTCCCCCTTTCCATTTTCTATACTCGATCATTTCCTACCTTTCAGCTTTCACCTTGTTTAATATCCTTCATTATAGTCATTAAACTGAATTTATTTTAATTAATTATCCCCAGGATTCTAGGGAGGATTACCCCCAGGATTCTAGGGGGGGGTAAGTAACCCCATTACCCCCCTATTTCCGCCACAAGGGAAAGTTTTTTTGGATGGGGCAAGGGACCTTATAACTTGTAGGGGCAGTAATTGGAGTAATCCCTGCTAATCCTGCATTCAGGGCCTGAATAGTTCAGGGGAAATTACCATTCTAGGGGGGAGGGGTATCCCCATGGATTTTATAGGGGGGGGGGGAAGGTAATAACCCCAATAACACCCCTTCTTTACGCCACTGGGTGGGGAATAACTCGAATAACCACGGCGGAATATAAAATGAAATTTATTTTGAGCAGACTCCCTGGGGCCCCTGGACTGACTGGACAAAATTCTGGACTCCATAAAGATTATATTTATAGGCGCTGGACTCATCAAGTTATAATAAAATGAATTTCTTAAATTAAATTATAATCTTCTCGAAAATCTCAATAATATAATCTTATGTCTAAGGAAATAGTAAATAATATTTTTTATATTGTAATTTTAAGTTCAAACGTACTTTTAGAATTTTAAATAAATCGCCTTGCTAGAAGCATCTATCAGTACTTATTATTGGTGGAAAGCCAGCCAATCACGGTCCAACTCACTACTTTCACGTGTAGTTAGAAAAGTTATTGCGCAAGCGCAAACTTGATGGAAATTTCTACGGACATGCGCAGAGACCAAATATGGACTTCTGCTCATGCGCAGTAAAGTAAAACCTCGTGTAGGAGCTTGTATAATTGTTTGGTGGGGCAGGCTGGCAGCCTAGTTTCATTTATCTATCTATAACTCCGCCATTGTATCTTGGACTACACACGAACAACTACGTTACTATTTAGCTCTCAATTTACACCTTTTAGTAACGTTTATACAGGTTTGTTAGTGTGAATCCGATTATATCTTGAATTTGTTTCAAATTTAGGAATTCAATTTATTTAATCTAAATCATTTTTATGACGAATTCATTTAAAATATTGAGCTTTAGAGATTCCTTCAGATTCGGATATATATTTAGTGTTTGTGCCTCCTTTAACTGAATTAAACTTTAAACTTCTAATGGGATGATTTTTCTTGTCTATTTATTTACTAATAAAAATTATTCCTGCCTAGGTGGTATGTGCTTGGCTGGAGCAGGGCCCGCCCTGTCCCCGTCGATCATGCCACTCCCACGGGGTGAGGTACAAACGCAACCCAGCAGATGTTGGGTCCTGGTTGAACCAGGGGTATCCGGCGAGATATTTACTCGTGAGCCACCTTTGTATTTGGTCCACCTTGAGGTGGGCAGTTCTGCCACGCCCTCAGTTGCCTAGCTGCTCAGGCCGACACTAAGCTTGGAGACATGGATTCCAAGGCAGTGTTAGTGCCTGGGTGCCTTGAAGTAACTTGAGGAGATTGGCTGTATAATGGATTAATATTAAACAAAGGTGAGCGTCAATCTGAATAGTTCTGATGGCTTGTGTTTCATATTTCTGTCCCAGGGGTGTACAAAAAGTTTTCTGATAAAGACTTAAATTAATTGTTTTCGTGTTTCAAAACAGAAAATACGTTTTGTACACCTCTGCTGTTTTAGTTCTTAGTTCTGAAATAATTATTTTTTTTCTGTAGGATGTCCAGATATGAGAGCAGAGACAGGGGCTACGGAGGTAGTCGGGGCGGAGATAGTAGGGGTGGGGGTGGAAGGAGTAGTTATGGAGGCGGAGGCGGTGGGTATGGTGGTGGATATGGAGGTGGTGGTGGCGGATACGGAGGAGGCGGTGGTGGAAGTATGAAAGGAAAGCAGCCTGGAGGAAATCTCCGAGCTGTTAACTGGAAGAATCATGATCTTAAACCCTTCACAAAGGATTTCTACAACCCAGCTCCCCACAGCAAGAACGCTGACGTTAGGACCGTCGAGAAGTTCAGGAATGAACACGAGATCGTGATCATGAAGGGTTTGGAGAGAACCCCTAACCCTATCTTCGAGTTTGCCGACGGAAACTTCCCCGACTACATCAACAAAGAAGTTCAACGTGCTGGATTTACCCGACCTACTCCTATCCAGGCTCAAGGATTCGCTATTGCCCTCCAGGGTCATGATTTTGTCGGGATTGCGCAGACCGGATCCGGGAAAACTCTTGGATTTATGCTGCCTGGTATTATTCACTGTAATAACCAGGATTATCTGGCCCGAGGAGATGGACCTATTGTACTTGTCCTTGCACCAACTAGGTATGATAGGCTTTTTTCTTCTATCGGGGTGTATTTTCGAATTTTGTCAGTTCTACGTTAAAAACTTCTTAATATATTGATTTGACTAAACTTCGAATTATAATGAAGTGATTTCTTCTTTAATACTGTGTATTTCCAATTCTATAAGAAAATACACCCCTGTATCTAATTGTTAATGATGTTATTAATACATGTTAGACTCTTGACTTCGATGATTATAAATCTTTTCTGAAAATCTTCAATTCTTTTTGAAATACTCCCTTCTCTTCTGAAATTTATAATAAACCTTTGTTGTTTAGGGAGCTCGCACAGCAGATCCAGGAGGTTGCCCAGAAGTTTGGTCAAAGCAGTAGGATTAAGAATACTTGCGTCTTCGGAGGAGCCCCGAAGGGACCTCAGCTGAGGGACCTAGAGAACGGTTGCGAGATTGTTATAGCTACACCCGGTAGATTGATCGATTTTCTGGAAATGGGCAAGATCAACTTGAGAAGGTATGTTGATATTAAGAACCAGAAAACTGGAATAGGAAGACCTCAAATTACCCACTCGGAAAGGTTTTGTTTTACACTATATATTGTGGAACTGCACTCTTGTCGTAATTCAGGAACATTTGCCTCAAACGGTTACTTCCTATTCCAAAATTTTCAGCGTTTTCTGAAAGAATTTGATGAATCAAAACTAAAAATCAATCTGTCAATCCCATGATATCCATGATTCGATAAGGTATCTGATTATTTTCTTGACCTATTACAAGTTCATTTTCATTTATTTTTTGTATATTTGAGTTTTTGTTCAGAGTTACCTACCTGTGTCTGGACGAAGCTGATAGAATGTTGGATATGGGTTTCGAACCCCAGATCAGGAAGATTCTTGAACAGATCCGACCTGACCGACAAGTTCTCATGTGGTCCGCTACCTGGCCCAAGGAGGTTAAACAGCTTGCCCATGACTTCTTGCACAAGGATTACATTCATATCAACATCGGATCCCAGGACCTGAGCGCTAACCACAACATTTTACAGGTATTTGTTAATCCAGGGGTTTATTTTAAATCAATTTACTATTCCCCTTTCACAGATCAATTTTGTTCTCCTGAATCAAGCTGAAAAGATTTTCTGTTTTTTCCCTGGTTTAATTATTTGATCTATTTTAAAACTCTGATGATTTCTGGTTGTTGCTTCTCAGTGACATTTGATCAGCATATGGCTGAGAATGATTTTTATCCTTGCGCACTGATCAAATGTGCACTTTTTTGTCTTTTGTTTGTGCGTCATTTTTACTGATAATTGTTTCTTTAGATTGTCGACGTTTGTGATGAGCACCAGAAAGAGTCTAAGCTAGCTAAGCTCCTTGAAGAGATTGGTTCAGACGCTTCGGCCAAGATTATCATCTTTGTCGAGACCAAGCGTAAGGCCGACGAGTTGACGCGTCTGATGAGACGTGATGGATGGCCGGCCATGTGTATTCACGGAGATAAACAGCAGAAGGAGAGAGATTGGGTTCTTGGAGAGTTTAAGTAAGTTTATTCATTTTAAACAAATTATTAATGCTACTAAATGCGTAACTTTTATTTTCCCATCCCTAAATCTCTGCAACCTGAGTGTTTTTCTCCTTTTAGTTAACATCATTCAGAGGCTGAAATATCAAAGGTTTATAATCCCGGGTTGCAAAGCTATATGGATCGATAAAATTTGTGGCAAAAACGTTTGCATTCTATAATGCATGATGAAATTATATAAATCAATCAATCTGTCAATCCCATGAACTCCATGATTAATATAACTCTCTGAACCCTTACCTCCAACATTGAAATATTTATACCTGGTTCATAACTTATTTTGTTTTACATTCAGAACCGGAAGTACAACCATCTTGGTCGCTACAGATGTCGCTGCTCGTGGTTTGGATGTCGACGATATTAAGTTCGTTATTAACTACGATTACCCCAACAACAGCGAAGACTACATTCACAGAATAGGTAAAAATATATGAATCATGTTAACAGAATATAGTGGGGCCCATAAACTGGAATATAAAAACATTGGAAGTATTGATGAACCTTCATACCGTTAAATTAATAGACTCGCATCCAAAAGATGTTTTTTTCAGTTTCTGCTTTAATCTTTGTCTTTTTTCATGGGTCCCTCTACATACATTTATGATGATAAAACGGATATTATCGGAATTTAATGAAGAATTTATCTGGCTGTTCACACACTGATAACTATTTTAAGTTCTATAATACTCGCTATGTGTTTTGTTCAGATCTTATTTTATTTTTGTTCAGGACGTACCGGCAGGAAAGGAAACACCGGAACCTCTTACACCTTGTTCACTCCAACCAATGGATCTAAAGCTAGAGATCTAATCAGCGTACTAACCGAAGCCAAGCAGGTTGTAAACCCACGACTTCAAGAATTAGTCGGAGCTGGAGGATTCAGAGGTAGAGACAGATATGGTGGAGGAGGTCGTGGTGGCGGACGAGGCGGTGGAGGTGGCCGATATGGTGGTGGCGGAGGAGGAGGTGGAAGATGGTAACTTACTGAAATAGATATTGTGCATTTTCTGACCAAATATATTGTTTGTAAATTGTTCTAATCCAATAATCCTGCTTAACGTAATAAAATGTTCAAATTTTCACCAATTTTCTCATTACGATGTCTTAGAGCTTTTTTATTTTTTTCGAGAGTCATCGAAACCTTTAAATTTGTTACGACATTATTAAAGACTAAACACATCAGTAAGAAAGATAAGTGTTAATTTTAATTCAAAACTATGAGAGCAAACTCGCCTGATGCAGAAAGTATCTTTAACTTAGGAATAACTATAACATTTGCCTAATTTTTCTACCTATCCAACTCAGCTTTCACTCCACTACTACTTAACATCCAGCTTACTAGTACGTGATGTTACATCTGCCATATAGACTTGAGGCTGCAGCGCTTGGCCCAGAAATTTTCTAAGCCTAACCCTCAAACAAAACTGAAATAAACAGCCGGCGTAGGTTCGATTTTGCTGTAGGTCAGAAATTCAGAGGGGGGGGGGATGATTCGTATAGACAAAGTAACATAACCTAATTTTCCGGGATTATTTTGTAGTAGCATAGTAATAGCTTTCCAATAGGGCTGACATTAAGTCACATTCAAAAATGACGAATTAGGAAATTTCATTAGATTCCAGTTTTAATATCGACGAAATACGATCAAAATATTTTTATAGAAAGAAACAATGTAGACCATTTATATAAAGCTCGTCATAGCAGACATGGCATTTAACAATTATAGGGAAAAGACAATATCCAAGTCGTGTTAATTCCTATGTATATTGGGACACCCTATACAAAGGATCTTCTAACTAGACCTCAATATTCTAAATAAAATGGCTCTGAGGAGGCTTAAGTTTTTCCCAACAATATTCTAGAATAATGGATTCAGAGAATTGAAAATTCATGTAAATGCCACATATTTGGAAACAAGGGTATATATTATTTACGAGTCTGACAGGGCGCTACATGTGACTATTTTCTCTTTGAATAAATTGTAAAACAAAAAACTAAGTTGAAATCTTCAAAGTTCCTTCATTGTATCTAAACCGTAAATCCGTAGGACATAATTACAGGACAACCACAATTAAAATTTTCAAAATTAAAGGATGATATGTTAATTATTAAAATAGACCGAGGAAGGGAGTGCACGACCGCCTTGAGCCCCACAATTAAAATTTTCAAAATTAAAGGATGATATGTTAATTATTAAAATAGACCGAGGGAGGGAGTGCACGACCGCCTTGAGCCCCGCGAAAGGACCCCCTGAAATGTAGAATGCCCTGTAAGCCCCGCTCGCCTCGCCTCTCGCTACTTTTCCAATTCTCCGCCATTCTGTCTCCATGCCCCTTATTATGATCTCCAATAAATCATATAGGCTTATACATCCACAAATCTTTTTAGTTTCAAAACATCTCAACAAAATAAATTAGTTTTTAATGGTAATTACTGGAAAATGGAGATGGAATACAGAAAGAAAATATATAGATTATGAACATAAGAAAGAAAGTAATAAAGTACTTAAAGGAACTACTTACTGCAGACACAAACCAACACTAAAGGGACTAAGTAGTGGACTTTAAAAAGGACTAACATAGTGGATGAATAACAAAAAATTGGAAACAAAGTGAAAATTATTAAACCAGGGACTAAATGACGCTAAGATACATATAAAAAGATATAATATTAAATATGGGGAAAATAAGGTTTTGGGTCAATTCATAGAAAGACATTTCATAGATGGACATTTTATAAATAAGACATATATCATAGACAGGACATTCCATAGATAGAACATTTTATAGAAAGGACATTTCATAGATAACAAAATCATAGGTAGGACTTTCCATTATCCCTAGACAGTGTAAATTTTTCATAGACAGAGAAGAATTTTCATAGATAGGTAATCTCTAAGACAAAAGCAATTTTTTCAGAGACAATTTAAGGTTTTGGGTATGTAAAATGTGTCACAATTTTATAAAATGTGATCAGTTTGACTAATAAGAAATCAACAATGTAATACAGGGTGTCCCAAAAAACATGGAAATTCAGTGACGAATTGTATATCGTCTTTGCTATGAATTAGCATTGTAATACCTAATTTCAAAAGCCATAATATTATTATGTCTGCTTGAGTTTATTTTATAAAAAGGGTAAACGACTGTAAAGATGTGTTTGTAATGTCTCCACTAGATGAACAGTGAAGACGGACAAGTTTACTCTTTTCGTATACTGTAATTTTCTTGTTTTACTAAGTACAAAACATAAACAAACAAAATGTAAACATAGCAGACGAAACTCTTACAGATTAAAGCTTTCTCAGTGGGTATCACTATACTATATCAAAGAATTATTTAAAAAGACGATATCGAATTCGTCACTGAATTCCCATGTTTTTGGGACACCCTGTATGTTATCAGTTTAAAGCAAAAAATTAAATATATGTGAAGTAAAAATCAGAGAGATCGTAGAAAAAACAGCGGATGATTTATTGGAAAAAATTACTTGGAAGAAAAGACTAATTTATCTGTAAAAGATGTTTTTTTATTTTACTGAATAAATCAATGAAAATTTGGAATTCTGAAAACCGGTGACATTGTGGAGTGATCCTGAAGGAAGAAATTATAAATTATAATATTTTTCTAAAGATTAAAGAGATGGATTAGATTCAGGCCCAACAATATGGATTATGTCAGGCAGAGGGGGAAATTGATCCTAGGAGAGATAGGGGGAATATGGTTCTACGAGGGGGGGGGGGATTATAAACGATACACATATTTGTGTATGTAGCACTAAAAAGGAACCGTAGAACAGAAAATAAATGGATGACTACTGTAGAGGCCTATAAGGGATGTATCTATGTATTTATATATTTATATCCTATATGACTCATTAGTATGGCGGAATTTTTATCTTTTTTGTTTATTTTTGCCTATATACAAGTTTACTCATAAAGGATGAGACTGTAAAGACGACCTGAATCTCTTCAAATATGACGTAATATGGAGGCCTATAAATATATATATTTATATATATACAGGTTTAATCACAAAGGATGAGACTGTAAAGACGACCTGAAACACTTCAAATATGACGTGATATGGTGGTCTTTAAATATATATGTATATATAGATATAGGTCTACTCACAAAGGCTAAGACTGTAAAGACGACCTGGAACTCAGATAATTAGACAATTCCAAGTTTAAATTAGGTCTTCTGCCTTGAATGTTGTCTTTAAATATTTAAAAAAATTCAGCAAGGAAAGAAATAAGTCTATATAATTGCAGAGAATTATGATTATAAGGAAACAGACAAGATAAATTCCATACAGTCGTCTCTGAAGTCTAAACTGTTGTGGGTAACCCTGTATATATATATATATATTTGTGCAATGTAGTTATTGTACATACAGTCGTCTCTGAAGTCTAAACTGTTGTGGGTAACCCTGTATATATTTGTGCAATGTACTTATTGTACAAAACAATATTCGGGAAAGGTTTTAATTTCATAGATTGAAAAGAATCATTAGGGAGTTTAGATGGTATGGTACCCATCGACATGACATAAGCATAGGAATTTTGTAAGTCATTGTAATAACATTGTTTGTTAGTTCGGGAACCAATATGTTGTCAACTTGGAACACAGAACTTCCAGAGAAAATAAGAAAGTTAAGAAAAACATTCAAAAGTCAACAACTTTTCTTGTAGAATGCAGTTTCCACAAAAAAATCTTTCTTAACAAAAACTTTCGACCATGATCCATTCCCCCCACCCCCAAAAAAAATTTACCGCATAAGTTTTATTTAAAATTTTTAAGAAAAGGAAATCACATTTTTTGAATAAGTTTTTCCAGCTTTTCGCCTGAAGAAATATTTATTTTTAATCATCACTTTCGTTCAGCCGAGCTCAATGAAATAGAATGTTGAGCACATTATGCAAAATATAAAAGATAAAGGGTGTCCCAATATAATTGAAATAGAGTTTCAACATTCAAACAGCTTTATATTATATCTTAATCAGTTATTGATTGAAAAATTTAGCATGAAAAAAACTCCACCATACCCTTCAATCTATATCGAAGAGAAAAAGCTAAAAGATTGAGCAACAATCAAAAGTTTAAGTAGAAGAAAGCCTAGTTATATAAAAGTACAGGCCAACAGTGTACCTTTACTTTGTACTTCATATTAACTTAGACTCTCTATAACAGGCCAACAGTGTACCTTTACCTTGTACTTCATAATAGAGTTTAACTTACACTCTCTACAGGCCAACAGTGTACCTTTACCTTGTACTTTTGAACTTACACTCTCTACAGGCCAACAGTGTACCTTTACATTGTACTTCATAATAGAGTTGAACTTACACTCTCTATAACAGGCCAACAGTGTACCTTTACCTTGTACTTTATAATAGAGCTGAACTTACACTCTCTACAGGCCAACAGTGTACCTTTACCTTGTACTTCATATTAGAGTTGAACTTACACTCTCTATAACAGGCCAACAGTGTACCTTTACCTTGCACTTCATAAAAGAGTTGAACTTACACTCTCTATAATAGGCCAACAGTGTACCTTTACCTTGTACTTCATATTAGAGTTGAACTTACACTCTCTATAACAGGCCAACAGTGTACCTTTACCTTGTACTTCATAATAGAGTTGAACTTACACTCTCTAAAGGCCAACAGTGTACCTTAACCTTGTACTTCATAATAGAGTTGAACTTACACTCTCTATAATAGGCCAACAGTGTACCTTTACTTTGTACTTTATAATAGAGTTGAACTTACTCTCTCTACAAGCCAACAGTGTACCTTTACCTTGTACTTCATAATAGAGTTTAACTTACACTCTCTATAACAGGCCAACAGTGTACCTTTACCTTGTACTTTATAATAGAGTTGAACTTACACTCTCTATAATCAGGCCAACAGTGTACCTTTACCTTGTACTTCATAATAGAGTTGAACTTACACTCTCTACAGGCCAACAGTGTACCTTTACCTTGTACTTCATAATAGAGTTGAACTTACACTCTCTACAGGCCAACAGTGT